GCTTAGAAAATACAAAAATTTCATATCTATTTCAAACACGTGACAAAAAATCCGGTGATTTATGGTAGGGTAGTGTACATATCAAGGTTCATCCGTTTTACTATTACGATTTTGAACAACAAGCATACATAGTGTATTATATACCGTCAGGCCAGGGCGTCGAAGCAACAACGATTTTGCGCACATATGTATAAGACATTCAAAGTCTACTGCTACGACTTCGAACAACAGGCCTATATACCGTCAGGTTCCCACGACGTCGAAGCACAGCAGTAGAAGATATAAAGTCGACGTTAGGCACATATGTATAAGATATTCAACGCCTCTTCGAAATATATAGAATTATCTTCTTACCAGAAGAAAATAATTGTAATCCGATCAAATCAGCCTTCACTGAAGAAAAATGGCTATGAAACGGATTGGTGGTCTTATAAATGAGCAAATAATATAGAGTTGCGACTCGCGGTAGTAGTAGAGAATAAATACATATTTATTGTCATGGTGATGCTGAAATTACATGACCGAATTTATTGAAGAAGTATGATTATGCAATTAATAAAGAACAATGTTAATTTGAGCGAAATTGTCGGCGTTTTCAATGAGTGTTACTGTCATCAATCGGAGTTGTTATATTGTTAATAAGGCGTGGCCGTTGCAGTATGATGCAATCAATCTACAATGCAAAATAGTTTTGTTGATAACGCAGATTCTATTTTCATCTTATCAATCGAATCCATTACAATTGTTCTGGCAATAGTAACTTGGACTCCACCACATTAAGTGATGACAGAAGTGATCGCATACCTTGCCATCATCATAGTCGAATCATTTCTGACTTAAATAATAGAGAGCGATTAAAAATTCACGCTTTCATCACGTTCAAATAGTTCCAAGGTTTGGTGATAAATAGCTCTTGAATAAGAACAGCGTATTAATCGTAACCAAAATATTCATTATTCACGAAGCCCACCGAGGGAAACGAATTCACGATCACTTTCGATGATTCATAATCGACTTGTCTAAGATGTGAACGAGGATTGTAACAGATTGACAGCATCGTTAGCGAAACGTTTATTGCGAGTCAGATGATAAAGACACATGTTTCAGGATTGTTTTACCAAGATCGTAGTAAAATACGCGAGTCAGAAAGTCTATATCAGAGAAACGCGTCACTTGACTAACGGGTTATGGAATAACCTATTAAATATGGCGGAACGGGCAGGATTTGATTAGTCTATTTATAATACAGCTGACAGTAAACTGATTAAACTCTGTTACACAATTAGATAATTGTGCTGATCGAATTGAAGTTCGTTCTTTCTCCTACAATTGCTCCCACACATTTCATTAAGCACCAATTTAAGACTGGATCTAATAATCAACCCTCACCGTCATGTCCACCCCTTCACTCTTTCGAGCTTTACAAATCTCAAACGTGGTTTCTTTCCTTCTTGCAACTTCTGTAAACATTTGGGGTCTCACAAGGTCGCCAATCAATATTGTGGACATATTTGATCAATACCCAACCTTCTTTACGCCTGCAAAGACATTTGTAGGAATATTCTGGGTTATCTGGTTTTTGTCGTTTGTTACGTTTGTGTTTTATGCACAATGGATCGAGGAAGTGACTATAATGGAAGTTGTCGAGAAAGGCGTTGGATGGTTATTTGTGATGAGTAATTTGTTTTTGTGTGGATGGGTTTGGTTTTGGGTAAGTCGTGAAAATGTGCAAGGGAGATGGATGTCAAGTATGTTTGAAGTGTGGATACTGGGAAAGTGAATACTCTAACAAAGGCCTTTACTGTTTAAATCACAATCGCCCATTGTTAATTTTCCAGATAAAGCAAGATTTCAGCGCTTCAGAGATGTTCATTCTCCTAAATATAATAACTCTATTCATAATTCATCGACGTTTGGTTGATCTCTATCCACTATATTCCCTTTCAGAACCAATCGCAGAGCACATAGTTCTCAACATCCATACTCCATTCTCGATGTACTTTGCATTTTCAGTGTTTGGTTTATTGTATAATGGATTTGTTGCCTTCACTGATATGGACGTGAAATACGCGACCTGGGCTTTAGTGGCTGTGTGGTTATACGGCTCGTTAGGATTTTTGTGGATTGTAGGTGGCTTCTGCAGTGGAAAGAGAGATGGAATATTCGGGTTTACTGTTGCCTGGTAAGCAGAGATACGTAAATGGGAACTGGGATTTACCAAGTCTGTTATATTAAAAATTACTAATAGTTCTCTTATCCTTGTCGTTGTTCCAATAATACTGCATCAGTATACTCCTTGCTATAGCAATTCAACAACAACGGGTAGTCTTCCTTGCCATTCAGGCAAGTGTCATTTCATTGATACTTGTCTTCTCGATAAGTATAGTATGGGGACATCATGGTGGCCGCCTTATATCCTTTCGACGTAGTCAGCCTGAGACAGATCCGCTGTTATGTGAAACTTAACTGTACGAGTGGGGCAATGCCTAAGACATAAGATTCAATTAGCAAATTGAATTCTTCAAGCATTGAATGTAACTTGTTTATGCTATTAAAGAACAAACTAGCTTATCATCGAATGAATGATCTCTACGAGTACGCTTTAAAATTTGCACCCAGTCATACCTACTATTGAGGAACAACGGTATATCAGAATGTCCGTGACGTATCGTGTCCCTTCTCCAACCAAAAGCAAAAGGGTTTTTACTGTGCCACTATAAATACTCTAAAGCTATACGCTAGCACAAAAATCACACTTGCGAAAGCAATCTTTGCGACTCGGCGTGCTTAAGATTAGAAGTTTTTGACATTAGGGAAATATTAAAGGGAGGCGATGGCTATTAAAATTGTGAGGTTATATTGTGGGATTGCCACGTGATTGGAAATTAGTGAGGCTAAAACCGCTATTACTATTATTGCGGTTACTTCAATTATAGTTGTTACTTCTGTAGTAGTGCTGACTATGTTTTAATAGTATGCTTAACGTATCACAGATATCTTATCAACCTGATCTGACAAGCTATTGTCCCGTGATTTCTCTCGTCTGTATCACTACTACTACCATGATAGACAATATCAAGTAATTATCAATGTCTTAGTATGATGATCATGACGATTATATGACGATATGAGCGATAAATAAAAATTTTTAAACAGCGATGGGTACTGCGCTCTATGCAGAATTTATAGCAATGAACAACTCTACAAACGTCCATAATAATAACGATAACAAACGTTTTTTTTCTATCGTCATTATTATGTCAAAAAAGGGATGCCGGACTTTGGCAAGGATCACCAATGTAGAACGGGGGCACAAAGAAGCGGAATAAAATGTATCGTCCAATAATTCCAGGGCTGTCGCAGTACCAGTACGTAAGCGGTCTAGTTGTTCCAGTTATCATTTGCTGATATTATAAATAAATACACGTGATCAGCTTCGCAAGTGAGTAGAACCTAGTAGAAGCTACCAGATCAATCAAGATATTTCGTACTCGGGCGTAGTATCCGCAAATCATGGTTTACACATGAAGATTAACTCGTGAAAGGGATATCTAATGGAACTTGCTGGAAAGAAGATGCCGTAAAGGTCAACAAAGCCCCCAGTATAAAAGGGCCACAACATTAAGAAAGCAAAAATACTTGATTTCTTCAAAACTTCTCTCACCACAATTTTTCGTCGATATTAAATAAACGTCTCGTCGAGTAGAATACATAATAATCACTATAACCGTATACAACAAAGAAAAATGACAGAAAAAGCAGGTAGGTTGTCGAGACGTTGAGTGAAAAGCCATTACCAATATTTATAGCAAAAGTTAAAACTACTTGTTTTTCTGTTCCTTTACTAAATATTTCTTCTTTTCTCGCACCTTTTTTCTTTACAATAGTCGGTATCGACTTGGGTACAACCTATTCTTGTGTGGGTGTATGGCAGAACGACCGTGTAGAAATTATTGCAAATGACCAGGGTAACCGCACAACACCTTCATATGTTGCCTTTACTGACTCAGAGCGTCTTATCGGGGACGCAGCAAAAAATCAAGTTGCCATGAATCCATTCAACACTGTCTTTGACGCTAAGCGTCTTATTGGACGTCGCTTTGCCGACCCAGAAGTACAGTCTGACATGAAAGTAAGTATGGACAAGTCCTCGACGCTTGTTTGACAAAGTCACCAGTATTTCGGTTTGATGACTTACGCAACTATTTTGTATATTTTGATAGCACTGGCCGTTCAAAGTTGTGGACAAGGACAAAAAACCATATATCGAAGTCGAGCACAAAGGCGAGAAGAAGCAGTTTACACCAGAAGAAATTTCGGCTATGGTTCTCACCAAGATGAAGGAAACGGCTGAACAATTCCTCGGAACCAAAGTTCAAAATGCTGTTATCACAGTACCTGCTTACTTCAATGATTCCCAACGTCAAGCCACAAAAGATGCCGGAGTAATTTCTGGTTTAAATGTCCTCCGTATCATTAACGAACCGACAGCAGCAGCTATCGCTTACGGTCTCGATAAGAAATCCGGTGGTGAACGCAACGTGTTGATTTACGATCTTGGTGGTGGTACATTCGATGTATCGCTATTGACGATTGAAGACGGTATCTTCGAAGTGAAGGCTACGGCTGGTGATACCCATCTTGGTGGTGAAGATTTCGATAATCGTGTAGTCAATCACTTTGTTCAGGAATTCAAGCGAAAATTCAAGAAAGATTTATCTATCAATGCACGCGCATTGCGTCGTCTACGTACTGCCTGTGAACGTGCCAAGCGTACATTATCATCGACAGCTCAGACATCAATCGAGATTGACTCACTCTTCGAAGGCATCGACTTCTATACCACTCTCACACGTGCTCGTTTTGAAGAATTAAATCAAGATCTCTTCAGATCTACCATGGATCCTGTCGAGAAAGTTCTTCGCGATTCCAAGATTGATAAATCATCAGTCCACGAAATCGTATTGGTCGGAGGGTCTACCCGTATTCCCAAAATCCAGAGGATGGTCTCGGAATTCTTTAACGGCAAAGAACCCAACAAATCGATCAACCCCGACGAAGCCGTCGCGTATGGTGCTGCCGTCCAAGCTGCTATCCTTTCCGGCGACACGTCTGAAAAGACGCAAGACTTGCTACTTCTCGATATCACTCCTCTCTCGCTTGGTATTGAAACTGCTGGTGGTGTCATGACTCCGTTGATCAAGCGTAATACGACCATTCCAACTAAGAAGAGTGAGATATTTTCGACCTATTCTGATAACCAGCCTGGTGTATTGATTCAGGTGTATGAAGGAGAGCGTGCTAGGACAAAGGACAACAATTTGCTTGGTAAATTCGAGTTGACGGGTATTCCGCCAGCACCTCGTGGTGTGCCACAAATTGAAGTCACATTCGATATTGACGCAAATGGTATTCTAAACGTAACGGCTATGGACAAGACCACCGGTCGATCAAACAAGATCACCATCACCAACGACAAAGGACGTTTATCAAAGGATGAAATCGAGCGTATGGGTAAGTATTGGGAAAGAGAGAAACTCTATCACGTGTTTACATTCAGTATCTTATGGTATAATTGACACATCTTTTGTTTCTTTAATCTTTACAGTTGCCGAGGCTGAGAGATACAAAGCAGAAGATGAAAAGGTTGCCCAGAAAATACAAGCACGGAACGCTTTGGAGAGCTATTCTTATAATCTCCGAAACACACTTACGGTAACTATCACGTCCTCGTTACTAATGTTTTACATACACTCAATGTCCATTGTGCGACATCGTTCTTACCATTCTTTTCTTTGTTCGTAACAGGATGAGAAAGTTGCAGGAAAATTGGAGGCAGGTGACAAGAAGAAACTTGAAGATGCTATTCAAGAAACAATCACTTGGCTAGACAATAACCAAGAGGCAGAGAAGGATGAATACGAGCATAAACAGAAGACGCTCGAGGAAGTTGCTAATCCTATTATGATGAAACTCTACGGCGCTGCTGGCGGTGCTGGTCCTGCAGGAGCTCCTCCGGGCGGCTTCCCAGGAGGCCCAGCCCCAGGAGGATCAGCTGGCGGTGACGAGTCTGGCCCGACAATCGAAGAAGTCGACTAAATAGTATCCATTATACACAAAAATTCTATACGCAATGTTGTACATTTATTGATTTTAATAATAAACGATGCTATATAAAATTTCGTACATATATACAAACATATATATATATCTGGTTTTGTGAAAAGATTCGGTGCAAAAGTTATGTTGATGTTAATTGAGAGGTGGGTGTTTTGTTATATTTTCCCTTAGCGTTGGTTGTTTTTTTTTTTTCTCGAATACAAAATGACGTAAAGCGTTAATGTACAGACAGCATACATTTGTACAATTCTCGATTATTCAATAAATTTATTTCAAATGACATGTGTAGATGTGTATGTATTTATTGCGCTTGTTTATACAACGTTAAAAAGACTACCATCGTAGCCTTATATATCCGAATATATTTCTTTCCAATAACTAACTCTAAACCCAGACTTTATTCACTCCGCTGCCTCCTCAACTTGGGCGGAGTCTTTTCTATTTCTTCTTTCCTGGCTGCGGCTTGCTCGAGTTTTTCTTGTAGTTTCTCACGTGCTTCTTGCCGTAATTCGTCGGACAGGCGGCGTTGTTTTGCAGCAACTTCTTTCGCATGAGCTATGACTTCTGAAGCTTTCTTTACACGTTCGGCTTCAAGTTGCTAGATAATCGAGAACGTATCGTAGCGTTAGGACATGTAAAATGGCATTGAGATCCAAACACATATATTAGCATTTGTGATTACCTTTTTGCGTTCTTCAGCGGCTGCGTGTTTGGCTTCGATTTCTTCTTGAGAGTTGTTTCTGTTGAGTAGACGTTCGAGTGTGCAACGGTCAGAATAAATTTGAGAAATTGTCATCATTAGCAACATATTGGCAAAATCGCTAGTGCTAATTCACTTGCTCATTTATATATGCTACAGGAACAAACGCTTACTCGGGTTGCTTTTCAGGTCTCTGCTTCTGCAACTCGGCAAGGCGTTTCTTTTCGGCTTCATCTTTCCTTGCTGCTGCTGTATCCAATTTCTCTTGTAACTTTTCCAGCGCTTCAGTTTTAGCTGCGTCAGAAAGTTGACGTTGCTTCTCAGCGACTTCTTTAGCACGGGCTACATCTTCAGCAGCTTTCTTGCGACGTTCTTCTTCAATTTCCTATGGAATTGAGGAGTAAGTGTGGGAATAGTTGAGATGGAAATCGTACGTTAGAGACGTTTGCCGGATCGCGGGTAGTGAGGGCATACTTTGTTTTATTCGGATAGAAATTATGTTTTGGGTGATAACGGTAAGGGGAAGACAGCATTACCTTTTTCCTTTCTTCGGCTGCTGCATGTTTGAGTGCAACCTGTTCTTCAGTGAGACTAGAACGTGTAGTTGACGAGAAACAAAAGTCGGTATGTAAGTAAAGTCTGCATATCAAAGAATGAAGACGTCGATAATTACGCATTGAGATAAGTGACCGTGTCGAGAAGTTAAATCTCGCTCTCGTTCATTTCTCCCTCAATTCATTTGAATCCACGACGCGTACGCAAGCAACGCGTCCATAATTCACGTACTCTCCAGACGAAGACGTACCATTCTTTCTCGTCATTAAGTCTTTTCAATAGCCCTTCGGGTGGTTGAGAGCTCGGGCTCTCTTGTACTTGCACCTCAAAAGCAACTGATTTCTGCGGAGTCGTTGTCATTATGTTGTTAAATTCGCCCTCTCCCAGACGTTGAGGGGGGTTATTTATTTATATCGCATGCATGAATGGGTCGTACAATATTGTGAGGTAATCATGGGGGGACATTGATGTAAATAATAGTAAGCAGTATAATTAGTATTAGATTTAGAGCGAAAGTGTAAAATTTATTACGTCATTAGGCATCCATTCAACCAGAATTTAACTTAAACGGAAGGGACATTAACGCCATGGAAAATCATGTGATAAAATCCTAATTGTACGTTTGTGTGACGGTTTTGAAACGCCGACTAGTACCATAACCAGTCTAATGAAGATCTTCCATATTAATATATTAATATCCTGCATCTTACCAAGCGCTACTTTTCATGTTCTGATAACTAAAGTCGACTCTCTCTAACACTAAACGCACACTCCCTAAACGCAGTAAACGCACAACTCCTTATACTTAAATGCAACACGTGATTATGTCATACTTAGTATCATTCGATTACATTAGTAAAAATTTAAGGTCACAATCAGCATGATTGGCCCTTCAGGCATCAGGTCATAAAGTCAGAGATCGTCTATAGTCACACCATTTTGGCACAATGCGAATTTTGATTATAGACAGATGTGACTATAGTAATAGACAGAGTAAATTCTTTATGTTCTATTATGAAACTGGCACTAGAGAGAATGTAGGAGAGTGTGAGTTTTCATGTGGTGTAACTATAAACGATCCAATAAAAATTGTTGATTTTATTATGGAGAGATTAAATATTCGTAAATATAACAAAAGACTGTCAATACTATTGATGATGATACCTTTCTCACTTCTTCCTCCTCCTCCTCTTCTTCTGAATGTCCTTGAATAGTTGCTTCCATTCACGAACTGTATTCATGGGTTCTTCCGACGGTAGTTGTTGATTACTTCAGATTCGAGCAAGAAGACACAGCGTTGGAACTTTATTGATCTGATTAGTTAATTCCTATAACGAACTTCATTATATTATGAACTTCGTTATACAATAAATTCGCCCAAGTGAATGGCTTTATTTATGTGCATGGATTTTGAAATCTTCGTTCAACGTTATATATATAAATCTTTGTTTATCTTGATAAGAACGAACTGGTTCCAGAAAAATACTTTGTTATAAGCAATCTTCGTTAAAGTGAATTTCACTGTGTATTACATTAACGTTAGGATCATTACTTAACATTCAAAGCATCAGACAGAATTAACGTTAAACATTGTATAGTAAACACATAGTGAACGTAATAGATTAGCTTCATAGATATTAAATATTTACATACGATACAGCATGTATTAAGAAGTGCAACAAACAATACTTTATACTTATAATAATAGTATCTACCATCTTGCACTATTCTCTAAATGTAAGCCCAAAAGGGGAGATTTGAATCAATGCCGTTTCGTATCATAATGCTTACCTACCAATAAGGTTCACTGTTTGCCCTTGAAAGTGCGTTGTAATTTATTGTCAAATTAAGATTTATAACTATATTAATATTTGTTTCTGTATGCAAACCAAGCAATCTGAATGTTGGATGTCATTCATGTTGTAAATAAAGCTGACGCACTCGAAGAAAATGTCAAGGATTACTTTACACGAGTCTCGCAGCCTGGCAGCTATGAGATTACGGCATAGGAAATACTGCGTAAGGACGAGTAGTTGCAACAGTCTACCATATTCAGTTGAGAGGTTTCTTTCGATTTGTTATATTGCACCGATTCTGCATAAGTCATCACTTTAGTGATTGAGTATCTAATTCACCTCATAGTGCTCAATTAGGCTCTCCTACGCCAATAAGGATGGGATGTTACTTGAACAGGAAGACATCAACGTCATTTCTCAAAATAGGCTAGAACGCGATACACCTCTGTTCAGATCGTAGCGTTGCTTATGGTAAGTAGGCTTGCTTGGCATATGCGCAATGCTCGATAAAAATAAAAGAGGATCAATGCGTGGTGTTTTTAATTTTTTGACAAAACTTTCTTTACGTTGTAGTTAAAGGAGCTTATTGATTTTGGTGCGGAACGAAACGATGTTTTCGATCGAACCGTCTCAATTTACCGTCCATATTCAATCTTTTTCGATGTATATCAGCATACTAAATAGACATATACAGCACCCCACTCAACTAGTCGATACAGGAAATGAAGAACGGATTTGAGTTTGGGACCTGTCTCAGTTCAGAACTCGGGACAGGTCCCCAACCGATAATCGTCGTGTTTACAGTCAGTTGATTCCCTTTTCCTAGGATGCGAGCAAGACGATGACTCGGTGAGATGAACTCCCAAGTGATGTGAGCGAAAATTTTCGAGGTAGAGCGTTCGATAGAGATTTACTATGCGATATTATGGGTGGAATATGACCATTGATGCCTGATTCAGCACCAGAGGATACAAGGAACTTGCCGAGTGGCGTTGTGATGCTAGTCCTGGCGAACGTCCTGGTCTTTGGGATAATATTCAAAGAAGTGGAAGAGAATAACTCTGACAACAACGCATGGATCGTAGTAACGTAATACCGTTATCACATTTCGAGAGGGAGTAAATATTCTAGTAAGCGCTTACCTATTGGAGGATTACCTAAGCCAAGAATTAGCTACAATTTGCAGGTATGCTGATACAAATGAAGTCAATTACAATATTAACATCGTCCCACTGCTTAGGATTTAGTGACTCAAACACTCTTTGAATAACCTTGTAATTACGGTTTATTTACAGTTTAACAAATTTTCAATCGGGTTCAAGTCAGGACTATTAGTGGACCGTCCATAACTTGAAGGACATTCTCCTGAAGGAATAACTTGACTAATGCAGAGGATCGTTGTACTATTTAAGTCACCAATAATTACAGGAGCATAAAATTGAATGTTTATTATGTTTTCGAAGCAGAAGGGTCGTATTTTCCTCATGCACAAAAAGCCAGATGTTTGTAATGGTTGAATGAGACACTTGTACTTTGCGTTACAGTTTACATTCTAAAGCCGTGGTTGATATAAAATGGATTTCTACATATGTTATTGGCGGTAATTCGGGTTGTCAGCCCTTTCCCGGCATGCATTTCAATACTATCATAAATTGTTGAAAGTGGAATGTTTGCTAGCGCATGTAGTTTCGAATTTCCTTATTTCACAAATGTAACAGAGTTTGACGTTGGTTTGCTTTATTTGAGCTGTTGACATGTATACGTTTTTACTCGCCAATGAAACATTGTTAGTTATAATTTTAAATAGAAATAAGATAACCTGTTAATGTTTCTAACTAATTCTCAAAGCGCCAGTTTCATAATTAATACTATGTACTCTTTATGAGACTTTCTATTCGAATCGAATTGTTTTGGCGATAAATGAAAATAAATATGATTATATAACAGAGAAAAAAACAATCCCGTTTTTTATCAATTACCCGTGGAATTGGTTACGTATTTTAATTTTGCTGACCTGAATCTGGATTTCAGGGCCCGTATTTGTTTCAATCCGTAAAGTTTGACTGTGAGCCGTGTTGAATTTGGCACAATAATAAATACTAAAATTTGGTTCTGCAAAATATAATGTGTAATCATTGCCGAATTAAGAGAATGCTTGTTGTTCTACACAAAACGCGTCGAAACAAAGCTATGGTTATGGTTTACTTCTTGTTCTATTTTATCTGCGGTTTATTAGTGTCTTATAAATATACTCTCTAAAGTGTCTTTATTACGCAAATGACAAGAAAATAAGTTTATTACATTTGAGAAAGCAAGGCATATGCTTTGTTCCAGAATTAAGTAAATTAACTGGCCTTCCTATACTAACTCGTTAAATGTCAATAATAATGACAATAAACTGAAGGCAATAATACTATGCGTTAAACACAGATGTAGAGATGGTCTGAAAGAACAAAGTGGATAATAATGCGGCTAGAGCAATTGGACGTTAACTAAGAAAAGATTCTTCAACTTTAATAAGGGCAAGTTGCAGTCTAAAATGTACTGCTGTTTTACATCGACCTGTATGCCGGTATTTAAACTCAAAAAAGCCAATCTATTAAATCGCCAATGCTCACCGAAAAGCACGAAAGAAATTGTATGGAGTGGGCGCAAAAACGCCTCAATGATAATTGTAAAAAACTGTCTTCACCGACGAGACAACGTTCTAATTATTTAATAATGCGAAATATGGCAAAAGTAATTGCGCAAAATTTGGATAATATTCCTGATAAGACTATTAAATTGATGACAGCAAGTTATTGTTTAAATTGATATATTCATTGTATAATGCAATGGTTGCAAAATTTAGCGAGGCAACTTTTGTACGAATATGTCGGAAATAACCCGTCTATTTAATTTGTTCTACGCAAAACGTCGAGCATATTTGACTGTGATTTTGCAATCGCAAAAATGCATTATCTTGTCCTTTTACCTTTTCCCTATGTAATAGTAATATTAGATAATTAAACAATTAGTTACGCTATAAATGGCACCTGCATAAACGATGTTCATGATCAAGCCTAATAAGTATTTGCTGTTAACAATGTTGCTACTTTTACGAAATTGAGTAGAGAGGCTAAAGCTGCAATATGGTTTGATAAATCATTGGTTATTTATGACCTACTATTCTAAGTTATGATATGCCGTGCAGTTTAAATTATTGACATAATTTATAAAAATACGCAAAATTAAAGCAAACCTTTTTTTAACAACCTACGAGAAATACCCTGCTTACGTATATCAATATATTACGTATACTTTACGCAATTGGTAGAGATTGATTGATTTGATGTAAACTTGTTATCGTTATGCCTTGAGAATTGGTTCGATGCTCAGCCTTAATTATGAAGGGATTGTTGGTAGAATCTCCCGGTTCAGTTCTACTGACATTCTTGCTGTGACAAAAATCTAATTTACTATAATAAAGCAGGCCCAAATTCTCCTTCTTTCAGACGGGATGTTTTACCCAAGGCCAAGAACTGTAAATAAGTTGTACTTTCCAATTTTATTGCAAGTGTAAGTTCAAACAATTCACAATTAGAAAATTATCAGCGAAGAAATTATTGATTCTCAATAACAAATCTGCGTTTGCCGTATTGGTTCTTCTATCAAATCGATAGGCTAATAATCAATTATATTCGTTTAATCAGGTGCATGTTGTTCCAATTGTGAGAACTATGTATATCCTTAATTTCCTGCTGTGCCACAAGAATTTTGATCATGCATTGCATTTATTACCCAAAACGGACAACAGCATAGCATGTTGCCACAATAATCATAGTTGCACAATGATAATAAGTAAACACTTTTGCAGAAGTGGCGTAGTTAGAAAGCGGCAGATATATAAAAAGCGCGACTTTTATAAATGTTCAATTATGTTCATGTTCTTTTAGCGTTCAATTAATATTACTTTTTAGTAAATGAGTAGTTCCTTATACTCTGAAATACATTATTAATGATTCGTTCTCTGGTAAATTATTCGATATAGCCGCTAATTCCCATATCGATTAGGGGTTCTCCCGTGAATATTCCTCGTGGCATTACGATTGTTATTCGCTTAGGATGAGACGTACGTTTGAATAGATCCCAACCTAGAGGCTTTGTCGGAAGGGAATGCCGGTTAACTCGAGGGCGAATATCCGTCTAGGATTGTGTCTACCGATCGATACAAGCTCGTGAGTAATAAGCCTAGTTTAAAGGTCACCAACTGTCGTTATAATTAAAGAAGCCACAGCCCCGTTCGAAAGATAGCTCAAATTCCTAGAGTTGACAGTCGCTTGCTCCTCCGCGATCGTTGACTCGACACAATTATTCAAACATTTAGGTTTGCTGGCAAAAGGCGAGGAGAATGTCTATTCTATAGCAATAGAGTGTGTGTTAATTAAATTATCGGACATCCTATACTCACTCAACCAAGCAACTAAGAACAAATGAGATAAATGCTTATGAGGTTGAATAATGTTGACCAGTAATTATGTTTTCTTATTCCAACTATTATTTATCTTTCGCTACGGTCAATACTAAAATTGACTCCAACATGTATTAAGACTTGCAATAAAGACTTATTTCTGCTGGCCAAAATATAAGCGATGGTTCACTTAATCATTACTGTGTTTAAAACTCAAATATCGACATAGAACTCTAGGGACAGATATAATAAGACAAGCAAGCATCAATCTGACAAATTAAGTCTCAAAGCTAGATGCGTGTGGTTTACAAACTGCAATTTGTATCTATTATTTTATTGTAGTTTGAACAATCTTTGTTGAATCTGCAAAATGATGTAATCAACCTATAACATTGTCTAGCTTTGGCATTTGTTGCTCATAGAAATGCAAGTCGGTGTTATTCCATTATTTACATAAAGTTTTGTTTATAGTATTTTTAGCAAAAGCAGTTCATGTTGCATTTTATCAGTCAACCCATTTAATTTAGTAAGTTACTTTATCCTCATAAATAGTTCTCAAGTGCTGTTTTTATATGCTCTGGCTTTTTTATCTGACTCATTCGAAAGCGAAACGTTTTCAAAAAGCACACTAGTGAAACTATTCTCTTACCAAAGCTGTAGAATATGGAATGTACAAAATCTTATTGTTAAATTTACCTCCTTATCTATACAATGGAATCAAAACTTTATTCGAAAGTAGACTTATTGGGCTTTACAATGATGTGTGATGCTGCGCAGAATAAAGAGTTGGGGGCCCATAGCAATGAACTCTTCTTTGTATCTATAATTTGGAGTTTTCAGAATGCACGATTCGAACATTCAAACAAACGAACTATTACGATGCTATATTCTAAATGGATTCGTAAATGGCCTTTCTTCCGAGTCACCGATCATATGTTGAAAGGTCTTATGGAACCGTGCGTCGCTCTCTATGCCAATTATTTTTATACATCGCAATAAACCATGTGTATAGCCAAGACGTCTATACAGTTTGCGGCGATGTTACCCATTGAATTACGTTAGCATTGAAGTCAAGTTCAATATATCGAGAATGCACAGCAGGGGCTTGTGCATATCCCAAGGAGTTTGTATCCCTATCTTTTTGTTGTACAGAATTTATCATCGGGCGAGCATTAATATACCAATCAAGTGATAAGTGGTACGGCCAGTGTAACGTATTAGCTCGGTTTTCTTCTAATTCGAGCCTGAAAGCTTATTGATTAACTAGATGTAGAAATATTACACGAATTATCTCAACCGAACAATCTCGGCCGGAGTTCTCATGCATATATATATAGATGCTTGCCCTAAATTCTTCCCAAAAAACTCACATCGATGGCTTCCAGGACAGCTACCTTTGCAACATTACGCGGAGAACTCTTTACCATCATGGGCCCTCTCAATTTGCCTTCTGATGTCTTGCCGCCTATTCCTGAGCGGTCTCCGTCTGAATATATAATAGACTATTGTCAGGGTCCCTGCGATGTAATATTGAAATGCGGGATAGGAAGGGAAACCAGGAGATTCAAGTTGAATTCAACATGGCTAGCGAAACAATCGGAATATTTTAAAAAAAAGTCTTGACGATAAGTGGCGTAAGAAGGGAGATAAGTATTTGGTGGAAAAACACAAGATTAAACCCATTGTTATGGAGACTTTATTGAGGTAAGAAAAGAGTACAACTGTTGAGATAAAATAGGGGCAATTACATCGATCTAGTTTCTAATTATAAACCCGATTTTCCATGTAGATATCTTTGTTATGGCATAATAGACTGGTCTTTAATTTCTGCAGGCGGTGTTGTCTCACTTCTCGAACTAGCAAATGAATGCCGTCTCACATCTCTCGTTACTGTTCTCCAAACAACTGCCTTGCTTTACGCTAGTGTCTGGTTTGAAGAATCAATTGTTAATGTCCTTGGCACAGCATTTTCCAGCACAGACTACCCTGCCCTTCGCACAAACCTTATTCGTTTAATGAACGATAACCCTTGGTGGATCTGCGATAATAAAGAGTTGGCAGCACTGGAGGAAAGCATTTTAATTAAGATTTTGACCGAAAAGAAATACGTACTCAAAGAGACATTAAAATTGGAACTGTTAATACGGTGGAGCTTGGCGCGCTATCCGAACATACCACACGACGTATCTGAATGGTCAGTGGTTATTTTTGATACATTACGGGAAAGCGTAAGCGACTGCATATCATATATTCAGTTCTCGGCTATATCGAGGAATGATTACTACGAAAAGATTTTACTATACAAAGAACTTATGCCTGAGAATATCAATGATCCTACTTTGGCATATTATATATCAGAAGAATGCAGCGGCCCGGAAAAGCTAGCCAAGCGACCAAAGGTTATTCTGCATGATTCTTACATTCTTAATCATACGTATGCGTTAAAGATAGTTAATTGGATTGAGGGAAAAGAAGCAAAGAGGGCAAGCTTGACAGGCCAGCCTAGTTTAAAAGCATGGAGATTTGGAAAGCAACATACGTTCAGACTACTTTATCGAGCAGGCAGAGATGGGAGATCACATCGGTCGTATCATGCCTTGTGCGATAACAAGGGACCTGTCGTGATAGTCGGTCGTATTATCGATACGAATACTATAGTAGGTGGATACAATCCCGTCGATACGGCATCTCATGCTTCTCGCACTCGTGTTCTGGGTGACAGATCGCCATTACAAACCGTTGGGTTCAGCAGAAAGCCCTTTATATTCTCTTTCGGTGCCGGTGACGATCCTAAAGGGGCAATTGTGAGCAGAATGATGATGGGCGAGTCTTTAAACACCAAGATAGAAGATCCTTGCTTTGGGTGCAACGATTTAAAGTTCGAATTGAGTAGTATGAAGGGCGTGTGTATGAGGAATGTTTATAACAAAGACATTGTGGCAGAAAATGAATTTATGATGGATGAGTGTGAAGTGTTTCAGGTTATCAGTGGGTGAAAATGCAGATGCACGATGCAAAAATGAACACTATTTGTATATTAGGGGTGGTGAACGAAGCGAAAAAAAAAAATAATAGACGGTATGGGATGTGGGGGTGTCGGATGTGGGGGTGTCGGATGTGGGGGTGTCGGATGTGGGCGTCGGATGTGGGCGGCGGTGGATATGGGAACGCATGGGCCGCATCTTTTCCGCAGAACGCCGCAGATGATCAGTGGATTTTCTAATGGGTCACATATAGTTTATTTGACATTGTAATTTTACTCTAAAAAAGATGTGTCAGCATGTCGAAATTGTAAATAAAAACATATTATATTACGGCGAAGTAATGATTCTTTAATCTTTCAAGATGGAATTGTTTTTCCAATTATGTAAGCCCTGTTATATTATGCTGCGCCCATCTAAGAATTTTAGTACGTGTGTTTCACTAAAATTGGATATTTACCAGGTGTGCACCTCGTCTGTGTCCTTATTTGAAAACATAATGATAGCCCGTATTTCTCCGTACCCAAAAGCGTATAGACAATAAGGACACAACTCCCACCCCCCCTTACTTTTCCCTGGAAATGCCGCAGATTGGAACAACTTGCTCGAGACTCAATTATTGTATTTCATCTTGCGCAATTTTTTAGAGGTTCCCATTCTGTAGTACGTGAATAAAATTGGATTGTATGTACCAAATATGTCGAAATGCAGATCCGCGAGGAGCATCAAATACCGGTATCTGAAAACAAAAGGGTTCGTATCGAAAGTTTGATTGATAACAATTAATTTCTCGCAAATTTTTTGTAGCCATCACCATAATATTTACGGCTTTCGTGACATATTAAAAAGACGTTTGCAATGGTTTGTTTGTACGTGAAATTCAATCTAATTATTAATAAGCGCCATTAGGCTCCTTGACTTTTCCAGTCAGTTTTAGTACCGAAACCACATGCACAGTTGCTGCAGTTTCATATACTTGATACCGAACGGCTTTGTTTAAATTCTTGAGGGGCGTGCTTGTGTCTCAAATGTACAGACCTATGGTTGTAATTTGAAAATCACGTAAACATGAGCCTGATAATCAGTCGTTGAGAAAAGGTTCACAAAAAATTCAGAACAATTTATGCTGTACCCAAGGGAGGGGGGTGTACATATACCATTATTTCACCGTCTTTGGTAACATTTCTATCAGTATCAGACTGGAGGACATTGTTTGAGTTAACATATTAATATGCACTACAGATGACTAAAGGTCTATTGTTTATTAGTAATTACATATTAACATACAATCATTTTTGGGAGATCTGTACTAATCTATTACTATTGAATTACACCCATTAATTGCTTCAGCTAGACTCGCAGCATCAGGTTTTTTAGCAACAGCATCTACCTTTATCTGCATCTGTCCTTGTAAATGATTAGCTGTTGTAGGTCCAATGGCTGCTACTTTAGCATTGGGTATCACCTTCCATTTACACAAGCTCTCAATTGTTATACCTACTCCAGACGGACTAAAAAATACAACGCAATCGAACGGTTTGCCGCTATCCAGGGCATCTTTTAGCAGAGCCTCAAATTGTTCATTGGGTCGAGTTTCATACACTAACAGCTCATCAACACCTATTCCTTCTTGTGACATTCGTTTTGGGATTACATCTCTTCGTTTGTCACCTACTAGAAATAACAATTTTGTCGACTGATTCTCCAAGTCCGGTTTGTTTTGAGCATAATATGATACGATATAGTCTGCCAAGAGGTCCGCATTGCCTGAATGTTCGGCTCCAACTGGCATAAAGTTGAGTTCGGATACTGCCTTTGCGGTTGCTTTACCGACTACAAAAAACGGAATATTGTTCCACCATAGAATCGTGTCCGCGGTAAGTTCTAATCGAACAGTTGCCAGTATCGAATTTGACGCATGCCACACGAAATGGGTTGTAAAATGATGTAATTAACGACAACCGATATAACGGGACTCGTATTTATTTTCACAGGTGGACAATTGTATAGTTACCAGATACAACTTCATTCCAAGCTGTCCTTAGTGTCTCGACCGCTCGCTGACTAGTCACTATCACTCCCCAATATTTTGATATTGATCCTTTTTTGAGTAAATCTGATAATCGAGGAACGTTGAGCAAAGCGTGCTCCAGCACTGGAATAAAGACTGATATATAGTTTCTCGACGATAACTCTTTCTCATATGGATCCACGTAAGCTGTATTGTTCGTGGTATCATTTCGGGTTTTATCCTTTAGAAGAAGAATCCTCTGCATTTTGTAAAAAGAGACGTAGGCATCATTTATCGGTAAGGTATATCGATATGTAATACGTTTTTATGAAATAAGGCACGTGATATTAGAACATGAATGGTGATCAACATATCGCGTTCGTTGAACATATGAAGAGAATGTAACTCGATTGTTTGTCAAGCGAGTGGAGCTATTGATTTGCGTTATTATATAATTACGAATTAATAATCTATTCAAGATTCTAGATAAATCCGTGAAGCAATAAGCCACAAGTCTAATTAAAATGTTGTTTTATGAACCTGCCAAACACTTGGCAAGTTTACGGGGCGACGAGAAACGAAATTTTAGTAGACACTCATTCATTGTCAAATGGTCTGCTTCAGGTTCAATATATCCATGCATTGCAGACCCATTCATGACTCAGAGCGAATTTATGCGAGGCTTGTCAGAAACAGAGGTTCCCAAGTGTTACTCAGCCTTCGCATTCAGTTCTCATACCATTGCAAAAAGCGGTCCCTAGATCCCATAACCCAAGCGAATATCAAACCAGACCGCTAGAGTATTAGATCAGGATGCAATTGAGGTAAATCAAAAATGACAAGACATGTTTAGAGAAATGATTAGCAAAAAATAACTAGTGCGCAGAGACGTGTTAACACCTGGTTATTGATACACAGAAGACTAATAAACTTCCATGATTAAGTTATTATACCCCGAGTAAGTTCCTAGAGCGTGCGTTAGTTTGCCAGAATAACAGATTTCCACTAATAAAAACTACTTGAACCAAAGCAAGTCGCTGATAACTTCATGTCCTTAGCTTTCAATTTACCTGGTCGTCGATCGATTCAAGGAATGTTACGTTTTTGTGCTGGAATGATGCAAACAAACGCCCTCAGAAAAGGTATCGATATATCTGCTTCCGATTTTGTCCGGCGCTTGGTACCACTAGAATACGTCATGTTGTATTAGTAGAGCTGCTTCCTTATTCTCGTTCCTTATCTTGTTCCATAGATGTGTTTTTTACTGAAACCATTTCAAATTTATTTTTTGACGATCGTTCCATCCAATTTAGTATGTAACATGTTAATATTAATTGTTATATCCCTTGAGAATCATGTGATAGTAAGTAGTGTTACCAATATATAACCTGTATGTAGTCAAGTTAATTGCGTTTCTGTTCCTTTTTTTTTTTTTCGTTGACCGGCCGAGTTACAGTATTTCACAGTAAACTTGAATAAAATGTCTTACAGCTCAAGCTACGGAGCACCGGGAGTTCCTGCTCCGCCCGGGATGTACGGACATACATCCAGTTCATCATATGGAAATGTTCCTTCTCAATCTCTATCCTATAATAACTCTCATTCAAATACTAATAGTCGAAATTCTAGCTATTCGAGATATGGGAACGATCGTGGCGGAGAGAGATCTTATGACGACCGCAGTCGGCGGGACCGTAAAGAGTAAGCTTTTATAAACAAATATTGTCATGCTGAAAATAACATTCGTATATTTATTGTGTTCAATATATCTTCCTGCCATGGGATTGCTTACTCCGGAGTATCAACATTTGCTTTCTTCTAAACTAATCATCGTTGAAAATCTGTTCGTTACAGGTACGAATCTCGTGGGGACCGTAGGGATCGAAGCCCTAACGGTTATGATAGACATCACGAAAGATATCCTAGTTCTAGCTACCGTTCTGGCGGAAACGGAGATCGTATGGCTGGCCTAGGCTCTGGTTTGCAGAAGCAAGACTGGGATATGGCTAAAATGCCGAAATTTGAAAAGAATTTTTATAGAGAACATCCTGTCGTTGCTGCTCGATCAGACCCAGAAATTGAGGCGTTTCGGAGAAAGCATGAAATGAAAGTTTTTGGCCGAGGTGTTCCTAAACCTGTCACAACTTTTGACGAAGCTAACTTTCCTTGTATGTTTGATCGTGTTCTCGTTGTGTAAAGTGCTCGCTAAGACATCGGTCATGAATAGTAATTGTTTTGTTATCTGGTTATATTGATCTTGCTTCAAATTTATTAGCGTATGTTTTAAAGGAAGTTCTTGAATCTGGATTTAAGGAGCCAACACCAATTCAATCCCAAGGATGGCCAATGGCTCTTTCAGGCCGTGATGTAGTTGGTATTGCCGAAACTGGCTCGGGTAAAACTTTAGCGTATTGTTTACCGTCGATTGTGCATATCAACGCTCAGCCGTTCCTCGAGCCAGGCGATGGACCTATTGTTTTGATCCTTGCCCCTACGCGCGAATTGGCTGTACAGATTCAGCAAGAATGCACAAAGTTTGGTAAATCTTCCAAGATTAAAAATACCTGTGTTTATGGTGGTGTGCCGAAAGGTCCACAGGCCCGTGAATTACAATATGGTTAGTGTTGTGCTTATGTAAAATAGTCTCCAACTACGGTTAATATGGTATTAACAACGTGATTCACATCGTAATGTCTCTATAGGCGTTGAAATCGTTATTGCTACACCGGGCCGTTTAATTGATATGATGGAAACTAAGAAAACAAATCTACGTCGTGTGACTTATCTTGTACTTGATGAGGCTGACAGAATGTTAGATATGGGTTTTGAGCCACAAATACGTAAAATTGTTGACCAGATCCGACCAGATCGACAGACTCTTATGTGGAGTGCAACGTGGCCCAAAGAGGTTAAGAAACTCGCTGAGGACTATTTACATGATTTTATTCAAGTCAATATTGGGTCGATGGATTTATCCGCGAGTCATAATATAGTACAGACTATAGAAGTTTGTGCAGAGTATGAAAAACGCACAAGGTACTGATCAAAAAATCCATGAGTTAAGAGTCCAAGTTTTGCCAGAATTTCTAAAATTTTAATTTTCTTTTCGTTACAGACTTGTTAAACATCTTGAACGTATCATGAACCAAAAAGAAAACAAAACTCTCATTTTTACAGGAACAAAGCGCACAGCAGACGAGATTACAAAGTTCCTCCGTCAAGATGGTTGGCCAGCTTTGGCAATTCACGGTGACAAGGCACAAACAGAACGAGACTGGGTTTTAAGTGAATTTCGTAGTGGAAGATCGCCTATTATGGTTGCAACGGATGTAGCATCTCGAGGGATTGGTATGGTGACATATTCTATTATATTGCAGTTCATTTGTCCTCGCTCACCATTCGATATTTTTCGTTCTCTCCGATACAATACGTGCGCGAGCGTATATGTAGGTCCCACCAAATGCCAGCAGTAGCCGCGGGCAACAATTAAGGACAGTCAATAGAATGAAAATATTCGTCTCATGGCTGTTGTCATCGTCATTATCATCGGGAGCCTGTATTCCACATTGCCTCTAGATTTTTGAGTGATGGAAGAGCTGCGTGGTCTCATGCTTTTGTTATTCGTCTGTAGAGTAAGATCTTTCTCCGCTGTCGATAAAATAGCAGCCCGAACGATTACGCGGAATATTTCATTGCGGTAATACAATCCGTGGTTTTGGTCCAAGACTGGCTCCAGGAGGAAATACTGCGTGGAATAAGTCTAGTATGACAACACTCTTTGGGCGGGTTTTCTGCATGTTAATTGAGAGGAGTCATGGATGTCGACTTATTTTGGTTTCTGACCAAGGGAGCGTCATTCTATGTTAATTTCCTCTCTATTTTCTTCTGTCTTGCTAATGAGCGATGTTTGTTGCTTGCCGCTGCGAAATCTACATGGCATGGGGCTTACATATCCTTTTATTTGTGTAGTTTGGTGTTGTGGCGGTGTATTGTTATATATTTATATTTGTGCTTTGCCGAATGTGATAATGTGATTTCTGGTGATGTATCTGGTGCATATACGAGTATGAAACGTTTATTCCATCTCGACAAAAGAATATTTGCACCTGATTCATTATATCTAACATTGGCGAGTACGTGACAACTAGTTTATTGGCTCATGGCTGACAATGATTTTTTGGACTTCAGATGTGAAGGATGTCAAGCTCGTCATCAACTATGACTTTCCGACCAATGTCGAGGTAAGAATCGAGATTCAATGCGATCAGTATTCGATTGTCATAGCATCCTTATACTTATAATCACGCAATCCTTCCCTATAGGACTATGTTCACCGTATTGGTCGTACTGGTCGTGGTGGTGCTAAGGGTGCTGCAGTGACTTTCTTTACGATGGACAATGCTAAGCAAGCTAAAGATTTGGTAAACATTCTAAGAGAAGCGAAACAGGAGATTGATCCGAAATTAATAGAAATGTCGAAAATTCACACTGGTGGTAGTGGTATGTGTATCAGTTGTTATTTGCCGATAGAACGTAAACCCTCAAATACTAAAAAACGTGTATGCTCGCATAGGTCGGAATCGATATAGCAATGCCCGTGGACATGGAGGTGGCCGTAGCGGGGGGCGTTGGTAGAAGGGAAGTGGAGAGCGAAAGAATGTTGATATAGCGTAATTACTTAAATTGTATAGAGTATATTTCTAAAGCAACTAAATAAAGAACTCGGATTCGCTCGATGAACCCCTGTCTGCTTTAGGACATGTCGTGATCGGATTCTATCGTAATGGGGAAAAACCCAAGTCTTTTATTTAATCTATTTTTTTTTTTTTTAATCTTAAATTTTCTAAAACGGCAACACGGGCTTCGCACGTTGATATTCTTCTTTCTTTTCCTATCAATAAAGAGAGACAATAAGTAATGATATTTCCAGTAATAAAGCGATAAAAATATCTATATATACCTTGCGCCAAGTTTCGATGGTCTTATCCATTTCCTGTAAAGCTTTGGCAATTCTTGCTTTCCTATAGAGATATGTGCCATAAATACATCAATATAATTCCTACCCAATCTTTTCCCTCCCCATGTCACCCTTTCTTCTTTCCACACCTTTCAGCTGCGGTTCTTTCATGTTTTTTTCCTTTCGGAGGTATGACTCTTGGAGGTTTTTTCTCCTTCTTCTCAGGTAATCCAATTCCAGATGGATCAATTCCCAACGCTATACAATTATTTCGCATATCGGCCTGTCTGCGTAGACTTATTCGTGGGGAGGCCCATATTTCGCGTCCTAATTTGGGTTTATAAACTATCTGCGGCGAAAAATGAACAGGACTATATTTTTTCTGTACGGCTGCGAAGGCCTGTGGTGACATTCGTTTAGTAGCAGCCATTATTACCGATAAAAAGATAACTTAGCCTCAAGTTTTGTTGCAGGAGCGTGACTTCTGTATTACCTCTGCCGCCAGTTAAAATCTTAATATAAAAGTTTCGTGTTCATACGGTGACTATAAAGAAGGTTGGTTGTATTCTAGTTTACATAACTATCGTTATATTCAGGATTGAATTTAGAAACTTGGAGTACTTCTTTCACACGCTTTCGTTTACAGCACGATAACTCTACCATCGATCATATGATCGATACTTCACACGTTAATTTTCAACAATGCTATATCAGTGATACCTCATAGCTATCATCGGACGAGTAAAAAAATATTTTGATTCTATATCGTTTATTGTGATTCCAGTCAGGAAGTCGAAATGTACACAGAGATACAAGATTTTAACTGGCGGGAGAAGTCTCAACTACTGGGTAGTTATAAAAATGTTGAACGATGATACAACTGTTCACATGGTTGCGTTAGATGTGTTACGGTAGATTAAGAATTATTACTATTACCCATACGTGAATTTCATTTACACTTTCTGCAGAGATTTCAAGAATCTAGCGAAGAAGGGTAGTGTTTGCTTACTAAGCAAATTTTATCTTTCAGATGTGGCTGCATGAGTTAACATAAAGGAACGAATATTTAATAATATTAAACCAAACTGGACGTTACGGAATTCAACGGGAGCGAGTGAAAATGGCTGCATGAACTCTATGCAGTCTTGCGGCGTTGCTAATGTACTCTATTGTCTACTTTTTAGAAAATTCTATGCGAGATTGATGTTGGCTTTCCTATTACTATCCATTTGTCTCTCAATGTTAGGGTAATCCGTATTAGTACGGACTCTTGCAAGTTTTATTTATAAAGCATCGTTTTTATATTGAACATTGTCCGAGCGAATAGTAATAATAAACGCAATCGACAAAAGTAGATTTCTATGGCACCAATGAAGCCCCAAAATGATAGGGCGCGACTTCCATCCATTATTTACGCTCTCTTTGTATTCATCTTTTTATAGTGAACGTGATAACATCCATGGCGACCTGAAAATCTTCAACTATTAGTTGAGTTGATGCACACGCACGCTGTAATCCTGATTTATTAGTAAACCCCTGAGAACATCAACCTTGGACTACAAATAGTTGACGATAAATTCCATAAAGTTAGTCGAGCAGTCCCTCTGATCCCAAAATTGTTTATTAAAGTAAAATATATACATACACACGCATACGGGTGTTCGAACCTAATATTACGCACGAGAGGTCTCGGGAAACAAGAGAGATCTGTTTTGTAATAAACAAAAAGCGCAACCATACACTGTATATACATATTATTACAATCAGAATGACACAACTCCAAGTGATCCTTGACAGACTCGCTGCAGAAAACTTGAATGGCCCCCTAACGCCTACTAGCCCTTCTGGAGGAGGCTACCCACCGCGGACTCTGAGGAGGGCTTCTTACGATGCCCAGAGCCCTTACCAAGAAGAGGCTCAAGAAACAGACTCGCTAGATCCAAAGTATATAGAATCCTTTTGCTATTACTATTTATATATTTTGATACTATCTAACAATTATTTGTGCAGGTGGCTGGTTTTGTTTCAAGAATTTTTTTTAGAGAATAGCGACTCGAAGCACGATGATTTGTTATTTTTCGTAAGACAGATGCATTCAGAGAATGAACACTTGGATCCAGTCTTTGTCAAAAGAAAAGCTCAACCACATGTTATGCCACAACTAGATGATGCCGTAATGTGGAAAGAAACATTCTTCCTGAACTTGATTGTCCAGGTAAGAATCTGCTGTTATCGTTTAGAGTCAATTATATCACACCCGGATGCATTTACATATTCATACCAACATCTCTAAATGAACACTTGGATTTTTCAGCTTCCGTGCAAATTAACAGTAGCAGTATGTACTCGAACAGCCTTGCCGGACAATTCGCAAAAGACAAGTATGACGTGTTCGCATCGACACGTATCAACGCGAGTGTACGCTCTTCCAACAAAATCACGCATGGATATAAAAGACACGTCGATGGAATGTTCTTACCCGCTTATTTATTATGTGGTTGATGATTATGAAGAAATGTTTGAACAATTAATTGTTAGAGAGGACGAGTATTTATGTGTAGAATTAGCAGTAACAATACCAAGTAAATCAAATGATGACGAAGAAGACAGCGAGAACGATAGCGATGACGATTACTACGGACGTAGTGGATCGAGACATCATCGTTCCCGTCTTAGCTATCGGCCAATGGCCAATGGACCATTTCCTCCACAGGTGCCTTCAACTGATACCAAGATCACATTATTTCAAGGTGCTGCACCTTTTTCTGCATTATTGGATATTTATAAGCAGAAGGCTTCTGGTAAGCTAAACAAGAGATTCAAGATGGGACCGGTGACCCCACCGACTGAGTACGTTATGATGCGGGGACCTAACAGCAAAGGGCATGCACAGGTAAGGTACATGATTGACAGGGGCTTATATTCCATCACTAGCTATATAGACGTCTACAATTTTTAACTGTTTCACAGGTGGCGATTACTGCGGCTCCAATAGAAAATACACAACAGACAATCGACATTACTTCCCCATCGACTTTTGCACCAAATTCAACGTCCGAACCGTATAATCATGTTAATGGTACCAACTCCTCTAGTTCTGCTATGAAACTTAGTGGTTCGGGAAACGGTTTTAAATATGACGATCAGACATCGCCACAGCTACGTCCAACATCATCAACGCCGGCTACAATCTTTCAGTCGTTGAAAAAATTATCACAACTAGCCATATCAGATCGACCAGCCCCAGAACCTGAGAGCCTTAGATGTTGTATGACTTTTATTAACGTACCGTGGACCAGCGTCGTCAGGTGAGTTGTGAAAAGAAATGTTGGGTGGCGGATGCAAATTAGATTACTTATCATTTAATCTTAATTCTAGTGACCTTATATCGCCTTCACGAAAAAAAATTTCATCATAATCAATATATGGAATTTATCTTCAATGAAGAGCTGTATTAGTCTTTTAGTTCATATACTATTAATGTATTTATGGAATATCGTATTCAATAATCACTCAACCATAATTTATGCATCGGGTATTATGGGAGGCGTTTCGGGAGGCATTTTACACAACCAACACTCCAAGAAAAGTTCGATAATGAGTTTATATATAAAAGTTGCATTCATTATTCACAAAATCTAAAGCGTCGTTAGTCTCTTCCACTTTTCACATGGACAAGCTTTTGTCACGTAAACGTGACGGCTATAATGCCTGTGGGAATAAAAGGTCGAATCTTTGTATCTAACCCAGAATTAGGCTAAAAATAATGGGACCGTTTACCTTCTATTGCCCTTGTGTAAATTTTGCGATTGTTGCGATTGTGGACTATTCTGCATGCATTATAAAGATGTCTGAATGATCACTTATTGTGTTACGGATGCGAAATAGTCGAACGTTCGACTCATTCAAAAAGTATGGACATAATACTTTTAAAACACGGTTGTTTATCGTCATTATCGCAAGTATGTCGACTCAAAAAAACGGCCCAGGAAAAAGAGCACGTTATTAAAGTACCAATTCAAAGTGGATACCATACGACCTTGGAATCATCATAAATGGATATCCAAATGGACTCTTTATTTACGTAATGCTTTCATCATTGACTTCGACATGAACCCTGCAGTCAATATCAGTTATTTTCTCGCTTATAATCTCAGCTTCTTGACTTTCCTTGGTCTCCTCAATTTCGATTACTGTATCTTCAATGATTTCAATCGTCTCATTGGATTTCACGTTATCATTCAACTGTTTAAATGCTTTAAACATTTCACTACTTTCTACGCAGGTAATTGAATTTCCAAAACTATCTTTGTCGGGATCTGAACCATCATCTACTACATCCTCAGAGATAGGCTTTTCACTGTTGTCATTACTCTCTCCGACCACTTCGGGCCGACCCAGTCGTCTAATAGTATAGTTAGACCCAACTGCACCGATTATGGTACAGAGGATAAGAGCCCAACAAGTTACAGACATGGCATTTACGTTCATTATACCAATGTCAAAGGCTTGTTTTACAATGACTAATCCCACCTCTCCTCTAGCAACCATAGCAAGCCCGATCGCTACTTTGTCGTCCATGCTAGTGACGAAGCCAGCAATAAACTTGGCGAAAGTAGCCACAGCAGAATAAGCAACGCCATAACCAAAATTCGTTGGAGTAAACAACCCTCTGATTGGAATAATGAAACCAATAGAGGCAAAAAAAATGGGGATAAGCCATCTCTGGATACCGTAGACTCTTTTCTCCCATAATTGACTAGCTTCGGAGACATTGGCGAGTGACATTCCAGCCATAAATGCACCGAGTAGGCGGGTGCTTCCAGCATATTCTGCAAGGAAACTGAATACCCCACCATATACAAGCATAAAGTCAAAGAACAATTCGCGCCAGAATCTCTCTGATCTTGCTGCCACAAATGGTCTCACCTTGTGAATCACTGCCGGCATAACAAACGCCAACCCTACGCCAACAATGATCGCTCCAACGCTGGAAATGATGGGACGAGCTATTTTCCATCCGTCAGCAGTGTCAGAGAATATTTGTGCAACGATGGCCAATATAACGAGACAGATAATGTCGTCAAACATGGCAACGGTAACGACCAAAGAACCGACAGGTGAAGCCAGTTGATTATGCTGTCCCATGACAGCGAGGGTTATTGCAACAGATGTTGACGCGAGGGAAGCAGCAGAAGAGACGGCTTCAGCATAAGTGAAGTGGAATGCGTATTTCATCGTAACGAAGCAAAGACCGAGAGGACAAACAATCCCGACGCATGCAGTAAAAAACGCACGTTTTGCAGTTTTTTTAGCCGTAGAGAGATGGAGAGAATGGCCACCTTATTTTCAGTACCCGAAAGATAGAATTTAGTGTCAGAAGAGTGGTCTATAATAATCGTTACTGCGGTCCACAAAAACTGATAAAAAAAAAAAAAAAAGGACGAAAAAAGCAAACAAAATTATACTGCATGTTTATAATTGCTATCGTAATTAATCATTTCCAATAAAGCGAAAAACCCGCCTTCGAAGATGCACATCAGAATCCCAAAATTTCCGAGTATTTCCATAGTAGCAGTTTCACCGAGCAAAGGAGTTTGAGGTAATGATACAAAGAGAGCGCCGACAAAGATGTAACCTATTAACGGAGCTGTTCGCAACAGCCTTCCGAAAATAATGTCTCCGAGCACGTAGAGCGATATAAAGAACAAAATATCCAAGTAAAGATGATAAAAAACAGCCTCCATTAGAACATTTGCAACCGGTGTTTGACAGATCTCAATGTCTTTTATAAGCAGTAACTGCAGGACATCACCATGTCGCACAACATACCAGGTCGTGCAGGCTCAAATATCATCCCTTCATTGGACACTCAGATGGCTTCTCCTCCATAAATAGAAATGTTGTGGACTGTATGACGTGTAAATTCCTGGCTCGCTGTAATAGTAACAACGTATTAGTATAGAAAAGGTGTATAAATGGTGCTAATTTATAACTAATCTTCCGGTTTATCAAACGTCGATCAGAATCATGAGCGTTTATCAAATCCGCATGTTTAGAATGTTCTAATTGCCTTCGGTTCCTTTATTGTAAATAGTTCTTTATACTCTGAAATAAATTGCTAATGATGCATTCCCTGGTAACTTATCGGTATAGCTGAGAAACCGCTAATCCCTATATCGATGAAGAATATCGAGTGGCAAATTACGATAATTAATTGTTATGTAGATGCATTTATTATTATTATAATTGAAATATTAGTGTGCTATCGAATTAATCCCACGACAGTAACCGAGAGATCACTCTACGATGCGAAGGTTTTCGTAAGTGCAAAGCCTTGATTGAACAAGGTCACTAACTGTAAACCGAGATTTATCTATAGAAGATGCTCTGCCGAAACTAGCTAAATACCAAGTGCACGACAATATATAACAACATAAAAGAAATTAAAACTAGAAAAAATAATAACCACCCCTACTCTCTCCTTATTATCCCTCCGAAGCACTACATTCTCCTTCTGAATCACCGCGTTCTCTATTTGCACTTGCATAACTTCATTTTTTAGCACCAACTCTCTCTTTGCCATTTCAGCTCTCCACGTTTGTGCTATTCCCTCCAGTTCCACAGATGGATAATAAGTGAGTGGTATGTTCTGGTGGGGGGTGGCTTGTCTTTTGTGTTTTCGCCGTTTTTACTTGGAACTGGAAGTGAGGACCCCCCATTCTTACAATAGATCTGTTTTTCTCTTCCTCTTCCAGAGCGGCCAAGCGAGACGTGGCTAACTCTCAACTATCGTATTTTCATACAATAGTTTCATCGGATAAGAACAGGTATTTGCCTCATGATGTGCTCCGTCGGTAAAGTCAGGGGCCACTACAATACCAACAAGACAGACATAATATTTCGACCATTTAGCAAGCACCTGGAAACAGCAATAAATTTCGGGTTAATTAAAAATTTTGAAATTTTTTGTGATTAGATAAATAAATCTTACCTGTATGATCCTTGCATTGGATGTAAACCACGCAATTCATATAACGCACCACCAGGTCTACACCTCCGTCTCCGGATTTCATCCTTATAATTAAGACGTAAGAGTTTAATGAGTAATTGCATCGTCAATTTTAAGACCGTTGAAGAACGTTCACAGCAGGCCGTCCACCTATACGCCAGGGCTGGATGTATCCTATTCACCACAGCCCGGATGCTCACTGTCGGTAACGGAGATTGTATGTTTACAACTAGCAAACCATTATATCAAGAACCACATAATGTCTTAATGTATCCTATTCACCACATTCACTGTCGGCTTTGTCGGTCACAGGAATCGATATATATATATATATACGCCCATTGCGCTTACCGAAACCCGAATTTACACCAAGTGACAGCGTACCTTCAGATACTACACTAAGTGATTATCCGATACAATAATTCACAGATTGTGGCACCGATGTGCTTTCGATTCTCCGACATTTTACACCTAGTGGCAGCGTAACTTTGGATCAAACCATTCAACAAGATATTCAGTGAAACTTACCCCGTCCGCCACTCCACATCGTAACCAGCTTCCACCAGGATATTCTTTATCCTCCTCTCGAATTCGGTTCCTTTTCGTTGTGTTTGCCATAACTGCCATGAGCAGGAGCTTCCTTGAATATTTCCAAAAATTTTTTTGTCAGCTCGACCTCATAGACCAAGAAATTTCGTATCTCTGGAAGAGAGAGTGAGAAGCTAGACATTTATTTCGGATAAACGTTAGTTATCATAAAGTAGGCAATAGATTAATTAAAACAAATAAGGTACGTACTCGGCTTTTTTAATTGCTTTCATGCTTTGCTTTCAAGATTTTTCGTTCATATCGTAAACCAACTTCAATAAGTTACGACATTTTGAAATAGTAGTTGTACCGTGTAATAACAAGGTACAGCCCCCTCCCATAAATGACTGAGTAACACAAAATTTCGTAAATTATATGTCGAATTCGCACGCATGTAACAA